CCTGAGCAACACAAACAGATCCCAGCCAAATTAGAGGAAAACAGTTATGTGTTAGTGGGGTTGAGTATTTTTCTACAGCGTCTACCGTACAGGCTAGTCAAGCCTGATATTATAGTTTAATTGTAAATCACAGATAGTCCTAATTGGCCGATTAATGCCTAATCTGCTTTCCTGTAAGGCGTCTGCCGTTCCAAGAGCATGGGACAAATAATGAAGACCCAAAGTCGATCTCCGTACTGCGAACTGAAGCCGCAAAATGCAATACACCTCAGTTACAGCTGGCCGCGGGGGCTGAGGGCCAGGGACGGAAAGGGAACTGGCAGAAACTGTCTAATTGCAGCAAAGTAATGGCTGGAAAACAGTCCGGCACCGCCCTCTTACCAACAGTAAACTCGTGATTGCACCAATCACAATGCGAGTCCTTCGGATGGCTGGTGGGAAGTAGGGCTCCATCTTACTGGTAATGGGGTTGGGCCGAGACTCGGTGCACAAACGGGCGTACTGCGGCCGTATAGTCTCCTCTTCGTGTTCGTAGTCGAACACGTCCCAATGGTGGGTCAGCTTGGCACACTTTCGTTTCCAGGCCTCCAGAAAGAGAACAGCTAGATGTGGAAAGGGGGAATGAGGTAGCAAGGTTAGACTCATCACGGATGTGGTGCACAGTCTTCCCTTGATTGGTTAGTCTGTTCTCTTTCAGGACGACTAATTGAAGCATTCTCCTCCCGAAATAAGTCTGGGCAAGGAGAAAATATACTAGCCTATCGAGAAAATGGATGCTAGGAGCTCCTGTACTACTAGCACGTTGTTATTTTTCATTTTATTGGTGAGACGGAGGGACATGGCAGCTAAAGAAATCTGCTAAACACGTTTAGGAAATGCATATTGTTGTGATATGTTAATTTTGTACTCCAACAATGTGTCGGACCAGACCCCGCAATTTGAAGGACGCGAACAAGGGCCCCGCAAACAAGCGGAACGGAAGCAATCCAATGCTGTTGGTAAAGGAAAACTGGATTGGATAAGACGGTGTATGATAGACCGCTTCAACCCTAATATCAACCGATCCCTAAGCCCAGTCCCTAACATAACAGCAACCCAAGCTTTACCCTTAAGCCTAACCATAAATGCCAGCCATAGCCACTAAATCCGAACCTTAACCGTAAACTTTTCACCCCGGATAAACACTAGTACAACATGGCTACCTATATTCATACGTGAATTTACCTTATTTCATGAACGCAAAAATACTTTTTCCGTACTCCGAAATGATGTAGTTGAAACATTTCCGACCTATATTAATGCTCTGTTATAGTAACACACGTAGATCCAAGAGGTTTTGATTCGCGGCGTTTAATAGTATAGGGAATTCGTTGGATATCAAGGAACGGTGGAGTTGATCCACTTTTCCTTTCGTACACCGATCTGAACTGAACGCTTCTCAGTAACCAGCCTTTTGCGCCTTAAATCAATTCAATAAACAAAATAACAAACTCAGATGTCAGTGTATTAGGCAAAACATGTTTTTCGGCAATTCTTCGTCAGGCCCTTATTTTTGCAAAACAATGAACATTTGGCCGTGAACAAAAATCAATAATCGTCCTAGGTGGGTGCCTATTGAACACTGCGGACTTTGTAAGTCTGTGCAGGTGGTCGGCGTGTTGGGTGACCGACTTCCACTCGTGGCTGGGGGTGATGTACTATCGTCACCTGGCGTCGGCGTCGGCCACGGAAGGGACAGGGCT